AGGGAGGAGAAAGCTGAAAAACCAAATCTCCTTGCTTTTTGCTAAGTGTTTTCGTCTTCCTTTCTCTACCCGATAACAATTTTCAGCAGGAGTCCAAATATACTTAAAGACCCGCATATGTCATTTTCTTTCACAGAGACAAAAGCAGGCATAGCGGGAGAGTTTTGTGCTCAAGGCCCAGTAGCTTATGACGGGCTATCTGCTCTCAAGATAGAGAGGTGAGCCTTCCACTTAGAGCTGCTGGTTTTGCAAATCCATTTTCCTGTCATGTTATTACTCCTGTGACTTTCAACAACATTTATTTTTCCCTCCAAGCAATGTGCTCCCATCATAAAATAAAGCACTCCTATATGTTTCAGTGGAACCCCAATGCTTAGGCATCTTGGCATACTGCTGGAAAGTGACTTAATGGAAGGATTGTCCAAGAACTACCTTGGGGTCTTTATTAAAACTATTTAGAACATTGATATATTTCCCTAATTATTACCAATGTCAAGAGCTTCTTAGGAGGGCGGTCCCCTATTAATTTTCATGTGTGATTCCAGCAAAATCTCCAGTCCTGAACACATCGATCAGTTCCTAGATCCTAGTAGGTTTTTTGTTGTTGTTGTTTGTTTATTTTTGTTTGTTTGTTTTGTATTTTAGGGAAGGGTCTACAGGGTGTTCAGGGTCTCACTACGAGATTGGACTCATAGTGATATGCCTGTTTACAGTCTTTCAAGAGCTGGGATTACAGGTGTGCGCCACCATGCCCAGTCTCAATTGCTGTCTCAGCACACCCCAGGGGCGGGGGTATGAGGTCAGCAGGGCAGGCCGGGGGTTCAAACCCCCATCCCTGAGCCTGCTTGCAGATGCTTTAATCCGCTGAGCTATTGGGCCGGCCCTAGTATTTTTGTTTAAACAAAAGCAAAGAAGAGCTCCTTGAATACATCATTTACTTTACAGATTTTGAAATTCTGAAATAAGGATTTAAGAATGAAAAGCAAAGATTACCGTCCATGCAGTATGTAGATGAAAGCATGGTTTTACTGTGTTGCTGATGGACTATGAATTGAGGTGACTGCCTCTTGTTAATCTTCACTTTGTTCCTTACTTTGGAATACTTTCTCTTTCTGCCTGGTTTAATAGTTTTTGACATAGAGCATTCCCCCATCACATGGTAAAACTGCAATTATTATCATGGTAAGGTTATTGTATATCTATGGGGCTGTGTTTCTATGCTTGATGTTTTGCCTTCTCTTAGAGAAGTAATGCTGAGTAGAATATCAAGGACAGAAGAGCAGGACCACAGTCGGGTAGGAAGACTTCATCTCTGTTCCTACCCTTGCTGGGCTCTCTAACCTTGGACAACTTACCTAATTTGGATGCCCCATAAAATGACTGTAAAGTGGAATTAATGCTAGCTCTATTTTGGAGGGTCATTGTGATGATAGATTGACTTGGCCTCTGGAAAACCCTTACAAGAATGTTAGGCAGATAATATCTGACAAATGTTTGCTATTATTAATATTTTCATCATAGTTGTATTATTTGTTTGCATTAAATTTTGGCAATGGCTTATTTTCCACATCCAGGAAACTCATATTTACCATTTTTATCATAGCGTCTGTGTCATTTCCTCAATCACTTCAGAGACATACAAGTGTCATAAAATGGTATTGTTAACTCAGGGCTTTAAAATAGCTACCAGAGTCAGATACCATGCGATCGAATACCACCTTTGCTAATACCAAACCCTAGCCTAACACAAGTGGATTCCTTGATTGAGGGCTAGATTTAATTATTTTAAACAAGACTCAAGGTACTCATTTATAAAATTTTTACAGAAATCAATAGATGAGCTAATACTTGTCAAGTTCTTAGAAAAAATAATTTGCTAAAGAGATTTTCATTCTGAAAGTGAGTAAACAAAATCTTAAAATTTATCTTGTGTAAAGCTAAGACTAATCATTAAAATAACTCATTTTCTCTGCACACAGTTTTATAATCACTTAAAAATAAGTCTGATTAATTATTTTTAAAGACAAGTTGTCATTGCCATTAGCTCCAGCATAAGAAAACAGATAAATTTATCTTTTAAACCAAGGGTGAGGTTTGTTGTTTACTGGTCATATGGAAACTCTTCAACTCATTAGTATTAAGCTAGAATTTTTTTATACAAGGGAAAAAGTCATCATTTAGCTTCAACACTTTAGTGTCAGAAATAATTGTGCTTTACAGCAAAATGGCAGCCAATAGAACGAAGTGTAGAAATATCAACTTTAATTAAACCCGTTCTCTCGTATACTCTTCACAGTTTACATGCAGGAATAATTTATCACCGTGTGAATGAACACTTAATGTTTGGCATGGCACAGCATAGGCAGCAATCGTGCTGTACCGTATGCTCTTTCCTTCCTCTTGTGTTTTCTAGAGTTTCCATAGATGCAGCATTCGGCTGGAATTCATCATATGTGGTATAAATCATACATTCAGATTTGCGCTTGGCCTGCTTCGAGCATATATAGCCAAGCTTGGATGATTGTGCGTACCACCTGGAATCCCAGAACACTGTGAGGACAAGGCAGGAGAATAGCTTGGGTTCATTTAGGTACTTATTAGAACTTGTATCAAAATAAAAATAGAATAAAGTTGTGGATGTAGCTTAGGTCAAAGGCCCTGGCCTCAGCCCCAGGCTTACCACCACCATAAAAAGATAGTAATATAAATTCAAAGAAATTCCTCACAATCTCTTACCAAAACTCTAAGCATGAGTATGAAGCTAGACTCCCTACGGAGCAGTCTACTCACTGGCTTCGTTTGGCAGAGGAAGAGGCAGAGGGAACTGATCAAGTTCTGTCACGTGTTTATGGCAGATCCCTGAGCGAACCTTTAGCTTCCTCACTGACATACAGAGAGCTTGTTGCATCCCATGGCTTCCTTTTAGGGTTTCTCCTCTCCTGGGGCTGTCTGTGCAATTTCCACGAAGCCTGTTTTGCTTGTTAAAAACAGCTTTTGACGTATTATTAAAAAGCCGAGCTTGAAGGTAAAGCTGTTAAGTGATGATGCTGCTTCATAATGTTCCTCTTTCTCTCACCTGTTTTACCACCCCAGAGGGGATCTAGACAACAAATACTGAAATTTTAAACTCCTATTCTTTGAAAAGAGACTAACGCTACTGTCACAGTGTTACTGTGCATAGCTGTGGACACCTGCAATTGACTGTACTCTGCTGCCTCCCTAGAAAAAACATTGCAGTATTATAAGAAAAACAAAAAAGCATGGGTTCGCAGTGTCAGTGACCTCAGAAAGGCAGGGGCTGTGCCAGCAGGTCAGAATTCCTCCAGTCCCCTTATTTCCTAGACCAGGAAGGCCAGACACCCGCAGCATCTTGTGTGACTCTGTTCCTCAATTTCTTCCTTGGAGAAAGTACATTACCGCCCTCTTCTGGGCATCCGCATTGGCAAGGCCAGGTCAACTCTGCCTGTTGAGACCTAAAGGCTTGCATTGTATTGTTCTGGGGAGCAAAGAAGAAACCCAGCACACACCTTGTTCCCCACTCTACAGAGGTTCATATTATCGTCATTGTTCACAAAAGACCCTGCAGGCCCCCGAGATTGAGTGGCATGCCTGTGGTCACTTGGATCACTAGATGCACACATGCTCTTCCAACTAAGGTCTGTCTGATCTCCGAGTTTTCCCAGACCTCTGTTCTTTCCTTCCTGCTTCACCCAAACTAGAAGGCAAAGAATTATGTTGTAGCAGTGTTTCTAAAGTGCCCTTTTGATCTCGACAGTTTTGCTGAGGCCCACCAGTGTTGACATGAAGGGCTATTCTCAAAATCGATGTACAACCACGTTCTGAGATCTCTTACACTGGTGATGGTGCAAGGTGGTGTGGAGGTGACATCACTCTGGGAGCTGAGTGGCACTGCATAGGCATATGATGCTCCTCAAACAAACTGTGGAGCTCTAAGAGGGGAACAGCAATCGGATTCCATGAGAAATTTAAATTTCTAGCCCCAAGAATATACCTATAGTGAAGAAAGAGAAATTAAAAATTAGAGAGAATTAGAGTCCTGGTGAAAGAATGAGAGGGACTCTAAGAAGTGCAGAAAGGGGAAAGTATAAAGGGTTTGTCCTTGTTGTTGAGGAATAGACATATCTTGACTGGATATTAGAAGCAAGAATTTTGGAGTAGATATATGACATCCTGTTTTATTTTGCTTCTCCTAGTTAGAGAGAGCTTATAAGGTATCCTTTGTAAGGCTGCCTTGGTAAAATAGGAAATTGGGCTTCTTGGGTGTTCCTGTGATCAGACAAGCAAATCTTGCTCATTAGCTCTGTGCTGTAGCTTTATGGATCACAGTAGTCCTAATCAACATGGCAACGGGTCAGTTATAACTTTGTTATTTCTCTAACAAAATGTCTTGATGCCATCATAGTTCTTTGCGATCTCCCTCAACCTCCCTTCTGTGGCAGCACCCATTGACTGGCTTCCTTATGTCTTGTGATAGTGCTAAGGTTTAGGGATATTCTGCCTTTTTTTTAAAACCATCTTTAGGCTTTGGATCATGCTATCCCTTCAGGACTGAGATCAGCCAAACCCTCCACTAGGAAGCCTCTCTAAGCTGCTTAGCCTCTGCCATTCCAGAGTGCACTGTGTCCTCTCTTGGGCTTCCCTCATGGCCCCTGCTTCTCTATTTCTAGAACATAGTCAAACATAGTTATGGTCAATTATAATAGAAGGTTACTGCAGAGTTCTCTTTTTGGACATGAGTGTATGTCACCAGGCACTGTACTGAGTGACGTTTTAAGAACTACTCTTATAAATCTCACAATAGTCTTGCATTGGCCTCCCTTTCTCCATGTCACAAACAAGCAAGCTGAGCTCAAATATGTCAACTTACCCAACTCTGGCAAGTGGTAAAAGTGATACTCAAATCTGATGTTTACTAACTGGTCACGAAATGAGGTGAGGAGGAAGCTTGCAGCTAATCCAATCTCTCTCTCTGCTTGCAGAGGCTGACTGGGGAAGTGGGCAGCCCTGACGTGATGTGCTCAGAAAGCAAAGACATTCCACTCCAAGAGAGGTCTGCTTGACGCATCTGGGAGGCCAGCATTAGAAGACTGCCACTTGGTCGGTGGAAGGGGTGACGGCTGCATTCCCTTGTGCCTGCCACGTAACCAAAAATGAAGGAGAACTACTGTTTACAAGCTGCCCTGGTGTGCCTGAGCATGCTGTGCCACAGCCAGGCATCCACCCTGGAGCGGCGGAGCCATCTGCATCCCTCGTTCCATGGGCACCACGACAGAGGCAAAGAAGGGCAGGTGCTGCAGCGCTCTAAGAGAGGCTGGGTCTGGAACCAGTTCTTCGTGATAGAGGAGTACACCGGGCCTGACCCTGTGCTTGTGGGCAGGGTAAGGTTGTTTTCATTCTGTATTTATCTCTCTGTATCCACCATGGAAGCAGTAGAAAATGGACACTAGAAAAGGAAAGTTAAGAGGGAAAATGCTAGTGATCTCTCGTCAGCAAAATCCCAGCGTCAGTTTGTATGCATCTTCCCAATTATTTCCCCGAAATCCATGCATTTACCCATGTTTAGTAGAATGCTTCTGTTTTCCACTTAAGATTGTATGATAAAAATACACTTGTGATGGCTGCTTAATAGTCTCCTGGAATGGGAATGACCATAGTTTATGTAATAATTTTCCAGAGAGGGGCTTTCCTCAGACTGTAACTTAACTGCAAAAGGGAACCCCCTGCTTTTTCTTTGCATGGTCTGCAGTACTCTGTTTTGTCACGGCTTTCTCTTTTGGGTCATGCATAGCTAGTCACTGGTTTATCTTCTTCACTAGACCTCAAGGTACTTTGCATCGTAGATGTGATTTCATCGCATTTGCTTTAATAGTTGGCTCATCGTCTAACAAGAAGGGGTGTTGCAGGAAAGGTGGAAATGTATCCCCTTTGTTTTAAGGTTGGTAAAACTTTGGTAGGATACCTGAAGATGTTTAGCACTAATTAAGTTGTGCATTCTTTGTGCAGCCTGTCCAAAATGAAGGAGAGTGTAAGGAGTACACATTTGGGGAACTGACTTTCCTCTATTGTTCATGATCAGGCCTACAATCATCTTTCAAATAATAATAGCATTCACTAAGAGGTGAAATCTTACTAGACTTGGGTGCACTGCTAGACAGAGGCTGAAAAAGAATCTCAGACTATAGGGAGAAAGAGTCAAATATGCAATTATTAAAAAACTGAAATGAGAGAGAGGATAATGAAATTCAATGCAAATTATAAATTTGTGTGGTAACATTTAGGGAAAAAAAAGGAAGCTTTCATGCTGAATAGGATAAGAACTAGTGACCTAAAGGAAGAACAGAGCTTACTCAGTAAAGGTGGAAGTAAGATAAGGGATTTCAGAGGTGCTCACTTCAGATCCCTCAAATTCAAATCCATGTGTCTTAGTTGTTCTTTAGCATGACATCAGGACTCCATATTTATATCATGAGCATACTTAGAGGAGGCTTGTGATAGTCTGTGTCACTGTTGCTTAGGGTTATAAACACATTTTCTCACAGTATGCACCAAAGGAATTTCATTTCTGTATACCTCAAATGGAAGGATGTGGATAGACTCTTACAAAACAGAGATGCAGTAGAATATATGGCATGCAGAAATTGCAAAGTAGGGGAGATGGGCTCTGTGCTCAGAGAGATGGAAAGGCTTCAGCCAGGAAAGGGGCTGTGTGATTCTGAGATGAGAAGACACGTGCAGGCATTATTTTGGGAAAATAGGACTTGTGTTTTGTGACTTCCGTGCTGGGGAGCAGTGTCTGGTGTCAAGGTGGTAAGATGCAGAGATGTGATATGGGACCCTTTTGGTCATCTTTGTAGATCTAAAGTTTTCCATGCCTAGTACAAGGGAGCACAGAAAAAGGTGTGTGTGTGTGTGTGTGTGTGTGTGTGTGTGTGTGTGTATGACGTAACCATTCAAAATATATGATGTTCAAAATCTAGACATTTGCAAACAAGTCTTAGTTTAGGTTGGATGAAAAACAAAGAATGACCAGACCTTGTAGTGTACCATTCGGTAATAGTGCAGGGATAGCTCTGCATACGACGGAGTGGTTGGCTTATTCTCTAACAGTATTTGACATGATAGTAAGGTTGAGTAGTTTAAGATTCCTTAAGAAAATAGAATTTGGAAAAGCATAGCCTTTCAGATTTCTCACAGCATGTACAGGTTGCGTCATGTGGGGCTATCCAAAGGGGGAAGCTGTTCTTACTTAAATTTAGGAACTGACTGCTTTCTTCAGCACTGGACTCCTTGAGAGCACAAAGCGGCTTCCCAAACTACTTTTTTTGTGGAAACTAATGAACATCATTAAAAGTTGTATAGATCATCTATCTATGTAAGAGTGAAAAAAGAGGGAAGTTTATGTTCAACTTTCAAATGAGAAAACAAAGTAGAAAAATAATATGAAGCATACTTGTTTTCTTTTCTTTTTTGGGGGGGCAGGGATTGAACTCAGGCCCTTGTGCTTGCTAGGGAAGTGCTTATTCCATGGAGCCAGCTCCCTGGCCCCATGAAGCATACTTGGGAGAATTTTCATGTATTTGACTTACAATGAAATACATGTTTAATTTCCATGAGATGGCCAAGTGCATATGTAACAAGAAGTTCCCAGAAACTTTACAGGACTAAGCACAGCCTTGTGTTTCTTGCTCTGGGTTCATGGCCCTAACTTGCTGACTTCACACGGACTGAAACAGAATTGTGAGGATGAGTCTTAAGCTTTCTGGGAAGGATTTATATTTGAAGTACAGGGTTCAGGCTCTATTGAGAAAGTCTTTATTTTATTTTTTTTTTCGGAGAATATTCAGAAGATTCTTTATATTTTTATTTTTTTTTATTTATTATTTTTTTTTCAAAGTTTTAT